ACATGTTTCACAACATAAAAAAGATCAACAATCGATTTTGTCACAAAGTGATAAAACGAGTGTCCATTATGCTATATGGATTAGTATTAATATTCGATATATGAAAAAAAAAATTATAATATCTGTTCATTTCACAATGAATTTTTTTGTGATATATACCGCTAAAATTATTTTCTATCGTTACATATTTACATATAATAAAGCCTTTTCTTATTGTATATGGTTTCTCCGATAAGAATAAATGCTAATGAACTTGAAAAGGATAAAATAATGGAAGGTTTATTGTTCTTATCGGTAATAATATTAAAACTCATATGTCATGGAACTTGAGATCTTTACCATCTCCGAAGATCGTCGAAATTTGTCTTATTTTACACTTTGAATGAGAGATCGTCAGGCTAAAGAGTTTAAATTCCCCAGAATGACGAAATATATTTAGCGTTTGGCGCTTGTGATTCTAATAGTATTGCCTTGCGAAGAAAGGATCTGGAAAATGGTTGGGGTAACGTAATTACTAATGTTTTTTCTTCTAGCAGGTTCTCAGGTAACAAATGAAACTATATAAATAAGGCGGATTTATGAGGTGGATTTTACCCTTATATTTTTTAACGAAAAAAATCTACAATTACAATGGAAGGAGAACTTTCAGTTAAAATTGGTAAATAAATTCTCCCATTAGCATTATTAATGCACAGATTGTATTTTTACAAAAGATCAAAACACGATTAAATAATGATACTTTTTTACATAGTGGGACTTGATGAAATTTACCTCGCTGTTCATGACGGGGGAGATAAAAAAATGGACGAAGAAACACTAAAAAAAGAACAAGGTGAATCTACTACATTGTAAGTTACATGGTTTCTCTAATTGTTCTATAAGGAAACGCTTTTTGTTTTCCATATATATCTCATTTTCACCATTCTGTATAATTATAGATCAGTTCAAAAAGTAGAAAATGGTGCATATTTAAAGGTCAATAACGAAGAAATATCTCTCAGTAATGTCTTTGAAAATCCGGGTCAACCAAAAGAACAATTGGTATTCAGGGATGCTGGAGGATCTGGCTTCACAGAAAACGCAGGTGCCGGCAAAACAAAAAAATAATAATATATGTTTTTAAAGTTCTTTGACCGATAAAATTCTTTCTAGATTATATAAAGCATATATGGAAGAGACTGGACTTGATCCTTGGATAAAGTCTGAAACTTCTGAATCCTCACAAATCGAAAATGCTGAATCCTCACAAATAAAAAATGCCGATAATTATCCTTCACAAGACTGTATCATCAAGATTTCTAAGTTTCCGGAAGAAAAAAGTATAATCCATGATGCAGTGCATAAACGCTTCCCTTTCTTGACATATACCAATTCTAATGCATGGCACCGGGATGTTTTTAAATATACAGATTCAGAAGCTAAATGTCCAATATGCAAAAAAGTACATACTCGTTTAGGTATATGGGGTGACTGGAGCTGTCTAGGTAAAAATGACCACTACTTTCTTAATTGTCCTTTCCGTATCGATCAAAAGAAAGTTATAATTGCTATACAGAGCTTACTGGAAAGTGTACCAAATAAAATCAGTAACTCGCCAATTCATCCAAACAAAACCCGCCTTTATCAATATGCCATCGAACATGGAATGGATCCCAAGAAATTTTCAGTCGTTACTGAGGCTGAGAAAAATAGGTGGGCTATGGGATGCTTCCGTGAAGACTTGGAGAGAGATATACGCTTTTACCGTGGTGGAATAGGAAGGCAGGAAGATACTAGAAAATATCATGAATTTTTAACAGATCGGGAGAGGCTGGTTGGCGAAGAATTATTACGTCGTGGTATAATAAAAAGCGGATTAAGTACTGCATGGCTTGATGAACTTATGGAAGAATGGGAAGAAATCCATAGTCAATTCGTACAAATGTTTAGTCAGACATAGCGAGATCCAGAGGTCTCTTACACACCTCGGATGATGATTATTTATTTAATACAGTAGGCAATTACGTATGTTACATGAGACACGGAGTGTCATTTCTCCGAAATACTTCTACGTCGATCCCACACATGATAATTTCCTGGTTTAACGATTACTTCGTTCTAATTGGCTTATTTTTATGATGTTTTCGGATAGAAGAGTCAACCTTTTCTTTTTAATATGAACACGATTCTTTCGGGGTTTTATCGGATCGAGATCGTACCAGTCTTCACTATTGAATCAATTAATGTTTCAACAGGAAATTTTCTTCGACTGCGCAATTTACAAATAACATTTGGTTATATATATTATAAACATTATTATTTGAAATATGGAGAACAACCCTGGAATTTATTCAGTCTTCAGCTTGGATTATCCTACCCAATTCTGATCTAATGATCCGTTTTGCAATCCGCTCCATTTCAGCCTCTTTCTTTTTTCGTTTTTCACTGGTATCTTGCTTAACTATATTGGGTTCTTTAACGAGAAGCTTCGTTTCCTCAGGTAAGACTATTTCTTGGGAGGCGTTGGGAGATGACTCCTTGAATTTAACATTCTTATTATACCATTCAGGCAAGTTGGGTTCCCCTATCGAGTTGGCATGTTCATAAGGATTGGATGACGCCCATATTTTTTTGATAGTTGTAGGACCTATATGGTAATGGGCATTGACTTTTTTTATCCCGGCTTTGAGTTGCTCGGCAAATACTATGGCAGTGATATCTTCTTTAGCTAAACGGGATGGAACTGTTTTTTTCTTGGAAGACTTCGCCGAATCATCTTTGTCAGATTTTTTTGATGGCATCTTGAACGGAAATTATATCTTGCAAGAAAAAAAAATATACAATATTTATTATAAATTATGAATATGAATACATTTAATACCACCGGAAATTCTAGAAAATATCTCCTGGATGACGTCAAAAAAAGGCTTAATTGTTTTTATACAACAACAATACATACAGACGCATTTTCAGATGAGAAATACTTATTATGATAACATTAAAATTATTTTTATATGCGACTAAACAGTTGTATACTATTATTTTTTCTTGCCACAGCAATGGATACAGCATATAAATTCGAATAGTCTACTTCACATTTATTTCTGCTAACATCAAATTTATTTCCGCGAGTTGGACATCAAAAGGATTATAGTGCACTTTCTTTGAAAGATCGTTATTCTTAGGCTGAGATTTAGGTTCGGGTTCAGTATTAGTATCAGGATTGGTATCGGAATCAGAAGAAGTGTCACCCTCAGCATAATAAGTTCCAGAATCAAAACGGTCGATCTTATGTCTCATTGCAATTCTACAAAGTAAACTAAGATGTTGGGTCGTTGGATTTTGACTACCATGAACTCTGGAAGCATGTTTACTCCCTATTTTTCTCAATCTTTTGGCAGTAATACCAT